GAAGTAGCTTCTAAATCACCGCTTATTCACATTCGGTACGTTCTCCAGCGGTGTAGCTGACTAACAAGTCAATGATATTGGTTTTCACATATTTTTAACAACAGAATAAAAGGATGCATTGTTACAACTAACACATAAAGTGTTCCCTTTGCTCCACTTCTGTTCGGTTGCATTAGTCGAGTGAGCAAATGATTGCGCAGGTCCGCTTCGTCGAGTCCCAGTAACTCAGCAGCATTACGCAGATGCTCGGCACTTCCTGACTGCAAGGTGCAACCACCTGCAATCGGTTACATGAAAAAGCAAATGCTAAATTCTAAAAAAATTCAGCTTCTAAAAAGTACCTTTTCTGTTCAAAAATTTCTTCTAAATGTTAGTGCTTTGTCTAAATCATTTTTTTTTTTTTTTGAGTAAATTATACTTCTTGTCTAAAGTTACTGTTCCAAAGTCCTTTAGTTTGTCACCCAGTTTATCATGAACATTTCCACCTCATTTCCTTTTTCAAATAAAAAAGGCTGTACGGGCCGTTAGGCCCTATGAGGATCGTTTCAATAAAAAGCTACAAACAGCTCGCCTGGAGGACTGCAAACACCAGCCAATACAACAACCCTAACTTTTAAAATAAGAAGTAAGCTCACCGTCTATCTTAGTACATCTAATTATTCCAAGCATCTCCTGTTTCATCTTCGCGGCTTTGCTTGCCACTGATACAGCTGTAGCTTCCTCACTCCTTTATTTTCTAGTTCTTCATCTACTCACATACATCAAAACTCGTGCGAGCAATACCTAGAGCTCGAGTATGACGTAAATTCCTCAGGATTTTTCAACTAATACTATTTACCACTTGCTTTCTATTTCGGCTCTTCCCACGTTATCGTCTTCTATGCATACAAAGAATGACAAGTCAGACAGAAATATCTACATATACTTACTTTTAAAACCGATCATTTCATCAACAAATTTAATATTGCCAAGGTGCAAAACAGCAGCAACAGCTTCAAACATCGCATTTCGTTCATCATCTGAGACACGGATGTGATTGAATGCTTGCAGCAACTTTTGAAAATCATTATAGTCCTCTACCACATCGTCCACTAAATATGCCTGAAATACGTCGCACTTAATAAACCGGTAACGTCTGGCATAGATTTTGCTTGACTGATGAATAAAAAAAGGGATCGAGGAAATTTCAAAAAAAAACTTAGTTTTTTAATTTCTAATGAGAAATCTTGAAGCAAAAAAATGCTCTTACCGATTCATGTGACTTTCTTTCCGGTAATATCTTGAGCACATTGTCGCTGCTGAGGAAAAATTGGGTACAGCCCTTATTGAGGTACTGAAAATTTGGCAATACACTTTCCAAAAAAATAATGAGTCATTGAATTCCTAAATAATCATAGAAGTCCTACAACTTTCTCCGTTTTTCGAAAAAAAAAGGAAACTGGAGCACTAGCCTGTCTTGCTATATTCTTTGCAACAGCAATAATTATCTGCTTGCAAAATTATTAATATAGCCCACAGAACAACGCAGTGAAAACAAAAGAAAGTTTAGGGAAGGGTTGTGCAGAGGACCACATACTGAAAATTCTACAAAAGCGAAAATACAGTTTTTTGTGGAAATTATGGCTATAGAACTGGAAAGGAGTGCTTCGATCCATGAATCCTGTATATTCTTTTCCAGTGCTAGAATTGGTTGCGGCTTGGTAAAAATTAAAGGGGAAAAGTGGAAAATAAAGAAAGGAGCAAAAAGGAAAAAGGGAGCTACAAGAATAAATAAATAAAGAAAATAAAAAGGAAGCGAGATAGATTTTGCGATCAAAATCCCGTGATTTTTCAGCGGGGAGAGACTTTCGACATTTTTAAACAATACGCATTCTGTGCAGTTGTCGCAGCATAAAACAAATACAAGCTAACATCAAAATGTTCGGGTTTCGTCAGTTTGAGCCTGTTAGCCAATTGTTCATCAGCTCCGGCAATCAGTTGGAAAAAGATGTGATAATTTCGCTCGCTTGTATGCTGCCCACAAAGTCGGGAGCGTTCCAGCAAATAA